AAAGAGCAGGAGAAGAGTTCCTGTTCCCTGAAATGGGCGCGGTTATGGGAGAAGAGGGCACTCACTGTAATAAACGTCTTCTTGCAGCCCGAAAACGCGCACTGGTAGGGCCTCTCGGGTTCGAAGTGGCTGCGCTGGTGGGTGCTGAGCTTGGCCTGCGTGGGGAAGCTCTCCTCGCACACCTCGCATTTGAAGGAGTTCTCCTGCTCATGGCCCTTCATGTGCGCCTTGAGGTTGTACACAGTGGTGAAGCTCTTGCCACAGCCCTCCACCGGACAGCCAAATGGCCGCAGCTTGTCGTGCGACTGCAGGTGCCTCTTGAGCTTATAGGACGTGGTGAAGGTCCAGCCGCAGCCGCTCAGGGGGCACTTGAAGGGCCGCTGGCCCTGGCTGCTGCTGTGCGTCAGCAGGTGCACCTTCAGCTGGTGCTTCTTGGCAAAGGTCTGGCCGCACTGCGCCTCCGGGCACAGGTACAGCACCACGCCCGGGCCTGGGACAAGCGGCCCGGGGGGATTCTGGGCGGCGGCCCTGGCCTCGGCCTCTTCCTCAGGCGCTGGCGCGGGCGCAGACGCGGGCTCCGCTGGCTCGGCCAGCAGGAGGTCCGGCGGCACCTCTGGGCAGTCACACAGCTGCACGGCGGGCGGAAACCCGGCTTGTGGGGCGGCTGGCCCCCTGACCTGCGGGACAGGCGCGACCCCAGGCTCCCAGGCGGGCAGCGGGGGCGTGGTCAGGGTGAGGGCGCCGTTCTCCAAGCTCAGGAACAGGTCCTGGTTGCGGATCGTGACGGTGCCGGCGAAGGCCGCCGCGGGGCCCAGGGCCGGGGCCGGGCACGGGAGCGGGGCCCGGGCCGGGGACAGATAGCGGGGGCCAGGCTCAGTGCGGCCCGCGGGATTCGCACCGCGCTCACCCCGCTCAGGGCCCAGCCCCGCCTCGGCCTCCTCCCTCCACACGGGCCCTCCTGCCTGATCCGTACCCGCCGTTTCCACATCGCCACCCACCGGGTTGAGCAGCAACAGGAAGAAGTCGTCGCCGTGGCTGCCGCCACCGCCGCTCGGGTGATCATGTCTTGGCGTCAGCAGGCTAGGACTAGGACTCAGGGCCGCAGCCGGGCCCCGTGAGGCCCTCTGGGCCTCCTCGCTCCGCCCGGGCCCGCCATCTTGGGCCCCCCGGAGCAGTAGAAGGCGGCGCGTGGGGGCCTGACAAGCTAGAGCACCCGGGCCAGGGTGGACTCTACCACCTCCCGCCTGGCAACAGCCAACGCCGCCGGTGCCGCCGCCGCCACCGCCGCCGCCGCCGCCGCCCTGTGGTGTCCCGCGAGCCGGGAGCTGCCTCGGGATTTCCATCTCCCCGTCGCTGAGGCTCCGCGGGAACCAGAGCCAAGGCGGAGGCGCGACCCCGCCCCCTGCCGCTGGCCCAAACCCGTTCCTGAAAGGAAAAAAAAAAGTGCAATGCGCAGAAACGGGTCCTATCAGATATTAAAACGTGTTTAACGCCACAGTGACTTAAATATTCTGGTATTGGGTCTCAGGAGCAGACTAGGAAGCCCAGAGGCACAGTCTGCTGCAAACAAATAACTTCCACAGTTGATCTTCCAAAGTAATCAAGGTCTTTGGAAGTGAAGGGGAAATGACAGGTCATCCCTAATGCTGCCTGCTCTCTAGAAATCTATCCAATGGAAACAACTTAAGTCTGTACCTCACTGCATATACCACATAAACGCACCGCAGCCTTTCCTGACACCGAGCATGTCCACTGGCACTTTCTGTGCTGTTACAAATTGTTTATTAACCATTGATGACACAATTTCTCATAGAACACAGATCTGTGTCCTCATAAACAAACTACCAGAAGGCCAGCATTACTGGTGGAAAGGCCCTCTACACACACACACACACACACACACACACACACACACACACACACACGGATACGTGGGGGGGCAGGGGAGGAGGGGATAGAGAGAGGCAGGTTAACTTGTAGTACTCAAAATTACTTTCAACAAAGTCTGGGTAAAATTTTACACGTCGCTTGGTTTTTGTCATCCTCGTGCAGAGGTTAAGAATAAGATGGGGGGTCAAAACAAATTGGCACTGTTTGGTCTACGAGTGTGAAACCTGGAGCATGAAGCAATTTATAACGAAGGTCAAAAAACCCCAACCTGATGCTGGGTTCTCCTGTAGAATGTTTTGAGTACATCCCTAAGCAATGTGGTTTTTATGATGTTATGTAAATGAAGTCATACTGCACGCTTCCCTTTGGGACTTGCTTCTTTCACTTTGCATTTTATTTGTGAGACTCATCCACATATTCTCACCAGCTGGACGGTAAGCCTTTTTGTCTCCATTCTTGACTAGCAGTCCAGCATCTGTCTATAGCGGTGACCATATCACATCATTCTATAGTAAACAGGCAAAACGGTTGTTTTTAGGTTGTTTTTTGCATTTTTTTTTTTACTATTATCATGAATGTTTGTATCTTTCTGTGGAAGACTCCCGTTAAAGCTCCCCGTGGAGTATACATCTAAAAATAGAATCGCCTGTTGGGGCATGGTGGTCCAAGCCATTAATCCCAGCAACAGGAAGACAGGGAAACAGAGGCAGGCCAATACCTGTGGCCTGCCTGCTTTACATATCGAGATCTAGGCCATCTGGGTCTATGGGGCTACAGGAAGACTCTGTCTCAAAAACAAAACAAAACAAAACAAAACAAAACAAAAACAAAAAAACAACACTGAGCCTGCTGTAAGTGATGCATGTCTTCAAACTACAGAGACAAAGGCACATGGATCTGGATCCCTATGAGATCCAAGCCAGTATGGTCTAAATGATGAGTTCTTTAGCCAACTTCTATTACACTTCCCATCTTGTGCATGCAAGCTTAATTATTTATACATTTTAAGTGTCAGCCCCTATGTGTGTCCACAACATTCCCTTGTTCTGTTGCTTGTAGTTTTGCATACTTTGTGCTGTATTTATTATGGTAATGAAGATCTCTTATTGTACTCAGATCCAAAAAAAATATGTTCCGCACGGTTAGGGCTTTTCTCTTTCTTATATATTCTATTTATTATTTTTATTTTATGTGTATGAGTGTATTGCCTGCATGTATGTAACTGCACCCATGTCATGCAGTACCCGCAGAGGTCAGAAGAGGGCAATGAAACCCTTGGAACTTGAGGTATGGACCCAAATGATGTTGCCATGAGAGTGCTGGGAATCAAACCCGGGTCCTCTGTGAAAACAGCCAGTGCTCTTAAATGCTGATCCATCTCTCAAACCCCAGGGCATTCCTTTTAAAAGAAATCCATTTTAAGACATTGTTTCTGGACAAGACAGGGTTCCTAAGACGGAAGATATGTTGAGGATGACTGAGAGGGGATAGAACACATGTGACATGAAAGCAGAAACGAGATTACTGGGGGTGAAAACATGTAAGGGGGCACAGTAGAAGGCTGGAAGAGAAGGGAGGACGAACTTGAGAAACAAAATATGTGTGAAAATGCAATCATTACAGCCTATTACATTTTATGCTAGTTTAAAAAATAAAAAAAAATGGAAAAAGGAAAGAGTGAGAGAGCAAGAGAGGAAGACAGGGAAAGAGGGAGGGAGGAAGGGAGAGAGAGAGAGGGAGAGAGAGAGAGAGAGAAAGAGAGAGAGAGAGAACAGTTTCTGGGTTTGGGTCCTGGTCTGTTAGCTCTGAGGCATCATACTTGCCTAACATTGACTAGGCCATGGGCTTGATCTCTAGAATAAAGAAAGGAAAAAGAGAGGAAGGAAGGAAGGAAGGAAGGGAGGGAGGGAGGGAGGGAGGGAGGAAGAAAGTGGCAAAGAAAGGGGGAGATGGGGAGGGAGAGAATATCCCCAAATAATTCTCTGAATGGTCTTCTAAAAGTTAAATGGATTTTCCCTCTCACAGTCAGATCTTAATCCATACGGAGTTTGTGTAGGGTATTGAGGGTATTGAGGAAGCGTCTCTACTGAGAGTTGAGAGACACACTAATCTATGGTATAACAATAATTCATTAGGAGGTGCTTTAATAACTATATCTATTTAGCAGAGTGACAGTGTTAGGTACTCTGATATGGTCTGTGTCCTGCCTGGGCCTGATATCAATGTCAGGTATGTGTCTTATGAAGCAGATCTTACATCCAATTAGAAAGTGATTGGTTACTCCCACTATTGCGCCAGAGGTCATATGTTGCAAGGCCAGATGTTGTTGAATCAGGTGAGATTCACAGCTAGTTAAGGTTGATGATTAATTCTTCTTCTTCCAACAGAATGCGTAGCACGTTCCGGCATGATGAAAGCTAACCAGTATAGATGAAAATTGGAAGTCAGTACCAGCTTGATTTCTCTACTGTCTTCAGGAAGAGGGTCTTAACATCAAGTTCTGGTTGATGACCAAGAGCAGGGGCAATGGACATTATTGATTGAGGTTCTATGAGACCCCCAAGTCAACAACTACAAAAGAGGGAGTCTGTTCCTGACATTGGAGTTTTATTTTCTTAGTCTATGGTATCTAGTAGGTGCTATGTCCCCTTGTTATGGGATAACTCCTTTTAATCTCTCTTTATAATGTATATGTATATACTTTCAGAAGCTTCTGTAGTGGCAGGTTTTTGTTCTAAAGACCTTTCGTGCTAGTTAGCCCTCCCCATACTCCCTCCTCTGTCTTGTTATTTTATTTTTTAAGAATTTAAAAATTTATTGTTTGAAATCTTCATGCAGATATACAATGTATCTTGATCATTACACCCTCAATTCACCTAGCTGTTCCCCCACCCCCCAGAACTCGCCCAACACATCCCATCCCACCTTCATGTCCTTATTTTTTTTTTTCTGATCCACTGAGTCCGATTCAGGCTGACCCAAAGTGGGTGTGGGACCATCTGCCTGAGTTTGGGCAACCTACCGTGGCCACACTACTGAAGAAGTGACTCCTGCTTCCTCAGCAACAGTAAATGGCCAATAGCTCCTCAGATAGGGGAGGGGCCTAATGA